AATTTTATTTTATGTTTACAATAACTCATCACTATTTCTATAATAATTCAATAATATTATACATGTCCAAAGTTTCTATAGTTCTCAAACACGTTGTAGTTCATATTTCTCAAATTCGATATATTTCAAACAGTATCAAATATCTCATCGAAGAAATAAAATCATAAATTTTTTTTAATTTTGGATTTGCAATATGGCAAAAAAAAAAATTAAATAAAAAAATTGCTCCACATAAATTTAACAAAAAATATTTCATTAAATTTTGCTAATTATTCAAAGTATAAATAACCTGATAATTTTAAATGAAAAATATTTGAGAGTATGCACTTAAAAATAAACCAACCAGCAAAATACATGGGGGAGAGAAAGGGTTTGGGGTACATAGAGAAGGCGTGTGGCAGAAAGAGAGGAGAGTTCGTAGGCTACGAGTGGAAAAATTTTTACGTATGTATGGACACGCAGAATTCCGAGCATATGACTGTTGATTGGGGGTGTTGGAGGGTTATCTTGCTATTATTAGGGTTAATACTCCCAACAACCTCACAAAACCCTCAAATGACAGGGAAAAAGATAAGCGCCAAACCGCGGAATGTATTGTTAAGTTATTGAAAGTTTATTGAAATATTATTAGGTTAATACTCTCAATAACTTAATTACTGAGAGGTTATCGGAAGTCATACGCACGCAGAAATACGTGCATATGATGTAGGTAAATAGCGCTCATACCAGTGACGGGCGAGAAAGGTGTAGAATAAGGTGATATATGTAGGAGTAAGAGGGCATAAAACGCACCAAATATGTGTGCAAGAGTCAGTTTGCCCCCCATACGGTTCCTTGTCCTTAAATAATACATTAAGGTGCTCCTTTTCATAAACTGTGAGCCAAATATTAATTTCTCATTAGAGCAACAAGTGCAATCAAAGGTCCATTTCTCCAACAAGTGCACAATTCCTGTGGAATAATTTTATCACAAAAATGCTCAAATGGCAAAGGCGGAGAGATGCAGAAGTGCAAAATTTCAATTGAAATATTTAAATAATAGTTAATAGCCAGTACCACACACCACATCTTCCTCAACATGCCTCCCGCCATAAAATTCGGCCTTTTTATCAGAAGACTTAATTATGCGATATGGCATGAAAGCTAAAAGCAGTGTAAACAATGCAGAAAGGACTACACTTTTTAAAATTCCCTGCTGCAAATTTTGGTTGAAATACAGGATTCAAACCCCACCCCCACCCCTATCAGATTTAAAAAAAATCGTAAATTTTTATAAATTTTTTATTTATTATTTTATGAATTTATATAATTCAATAAAAAGGCAATATAGACGTAAATCAAAGATAAATAACAGAAAAAAAACGACCGTCATTTAATATTTAAAAAATCCGTGCAAATTGTTTGGCAGCTTTACTTTTTCTCTTGTTTTATTACATGTGCTTCCCTGTACCGCCTGAACCACCCAGGTAAGGTCGCAGGCGCAGGCCTTAATTTAATCCTCCTTTTTCCTTTATAAAATTATTAATTTTTTTAATACTGTTTATTGGGTTATAACCTCGCTATATTCCTGAAACTTGTCTGTAAAACTTTTCTGTAGCTTGCAGTGAGTTTTGAATTTTTATTTTCATATATTGTAGGCTAAAAGCAAGTCAGAGGGAGATTACAGGGTGCAAGTGATTATAAACTCTCAATACCCTCCTTATCTCCTTATAACCTAGTGAATGCTCATGTAGCTGTGTACTTAGTTTAAGTACGAAATTTTTTTCCCTCCAATGTCATCGCATAAATAACCCATCTCACTATGTGTTTTTTAGAGACGTACAACAGAAAATAAAAATAAAAATGACCGAAACAAAATCAGAAACAAAACTGAATGTTTCCGACTCTTGCAAACTTCCTAGAGTAAACAAATTCACACCAACCCAACATTCATCAGTAAAAGATGTAGCTAGCTAAATAATACAAACAAAAATACTTCTAAATCATCAATATCACTAAAATCCAGTTCCAAAATCACATCCGTAATTAAACTTTGAAATAACCAAATCTTCAACCAAACAAGTAATTAGATAAGCCACAGCCCACATTCAGAAGAACTCTCACCTCTAGCGATGAGGACAGAAGGTAACAAGATAACTCGCACCCGTGCACGTAAGAATACTCGTCGGATCATCAAACGCGTACGAGTACGCTCGCGGGCACGCAGATTTAAACAGCTTAGAGTACACCGTCGGCTTACACAACTGCGGACTGCCGAAGCTCCCCGTGCAACAGTACCTGGGCGATCCAAACGCGGAACAAGCGCTCTTACACGCGACGACACGACTCCCAGGTCCAGCTCGCACCGCCAGTCCGGCCGGACAAACCTCGTTCAAATCGCTCACGCAGCCGGCGTCGCCGCAGCGACCCGCACCACGAAATGGCCGCATGGAGAGGGCGAGGTTGTAGCCGTCGACGAGGCTGACGTCGTAAAAGTCCTGCGTGTGGGGAGAGGAGCCGAGAGTGATCTCTGCGCGGGCGGCGGGAGGG